TATTAATACCCAAACCTGATAAAGACTTAACAGACCCAGGGTCATATAGACCCATATCATTAATAAACCAAGACGCAAAGATATTATCCGCGATATTAGCTAATAGAATGAATAAATGTATGTATAAGTATATAAAAGAAGACCAGTGTGGGTTTATAAAAGGAAGACAAATGTCAAATTTGATAGGAAGAGTATTAAATAAAATTCATTGGGCTAAAGAGGGGAAGGAAAAAGCAGGGATACTATCATTAGATATTTTTAAAGCGTTCGATTGTGTGGAATGGGAGACATTAAGGGAAATATTGAATAAATTTGGAATGGGAAATAAAATAAAAGGAGTACTAAAACAATTTTATTCAAAGAATTCAGCAGTAATAACTATAAATGATGGAGTGACAAATGAAATACAAGTGACTAGAGGAACCAGACAAGGGTGCCCTTTGTCCCCGATACTATTTGCTATGGTGATAGAACTGTTTGCTAATAACATAAGGAATGATAAAAATCTAGAAGGGTTAGGAAAAAAGGAGAAACAGAAGGTGAGCTTATTCGCTGACGATACATTGTTATTTATAGAAAATATAGTGGAGAAAATGGATAGAATAAAAGAACATTTGGAGATATTTGGGAAAGCAACGGGTTTACAAGTTAATTGGAACAAGTCAGAAATGATGCTACTTAATTATACAAGAGAAGAAGAAAAAGATTTTATAGAACAGAGAAAAATGGGAATAAGAATTAAGAATAAATTAAAATACTTGGGAGTAATAATAACTAAGGATTTAAAAGAGATAGAGGAAGTAAATGTAGTAACTTTAAGAAAAGAAGTTCATAAAAAGTTAATAGAGTACGAAGGTATACACTTATCCTGGTTTGGAAGAATAGCATTAGTAAAAATGAAAATACTTCCAAAAATAAATTTTATATTTAGGATGCTACCACTTCAAATCACAGAGGAAGAACTAACTAGATGGCAACAAATGATTAATAAGTACTGCAATGGAAGTAAGAAAAATAGACTAAATAAACAAATATGGTATAGATTGCAAAAGGAGGGTGGACTAGCATTACCTAATATAAAAAAATATTATGAAGCAAGTAGATTAAATCTGGTTATAGAAGGAATGGTTAAAAAAAAGGGAATAGACTGGCTTAGTAATGATTCAGGAAAAGTGGAAGATGAAACCTGGAATATATTTTTTAAACAGCTTACTAGAACAGAATTGAAGGAAATTAGAAACCCAATGTTGAGCAACATACTGAAAGTATGGAATAAGTACAAGGGGAGGTTAATAAAGGAAGGATCAATTATTACCCCAATAGTGATGGAAAAGAAATTCCCAAAAAATTTAAAAAAAGTAATGGATAAAAAGGTAAGGGAAATAAATTTAGATAGAATAGGGGATTGGATGAAAGTGGAAATGAAGAGGGAAAGGATGTTGGAAGAGTTTAAAGAAATAAAATTGTCATGGTTTCATGTATACAATTAGAACAATGGTTAATAAATTGGAAAAAGAATAACAGAAATGGAGGCCAACTTAATCAATTCGAACAAATAATACAGAAGGGAAGGGCGGTAGAAGAACATGAAAACTTGAGAGGCATAATTAGCAAAATCTATAAGATACTAATTGAAATGAGGGATGGAAAAATAAAAAAGTGTACCCTTAAGGAGATTTGGGAAGAGGATTTAGGGATAAAAATAAGCGAAATAGAGTGGCAACAGTTATGGGGACAAAGACATTTAAAAAATTT